GTTCCTCGCGGGCCGCCTCCGCGGTCTTTGCGGACGGAGCTGCGCGAAGGGCCCCGCGTTAGGAGCCAGGGCGCTGGAGCGGGGTTCACGCAGCCTCCCCCGTGGGGAACGGCACAGGGAAATTGCAGCAACAACAGCAACAACAATAATAATCCCAGAATGGGTAGGTCTGTCCTCCGAAAACCGAGGGGGAAACTCGCATGGGAGTGCAAAAGATGGCTTAGTGCAAAGTGGGACGCGACCATTGAACGGTTCATCTGGTTGGTGGGGAGTCTGCAAAAAGAAAGAAGAGATTTTGCACCTGTCCACATGGGTTCCTGTTCTGTTTCTTCCCTTTCCGTAACTGATATCCTGCCCAATTCCACCAACTCTGGGTGGTCCACCCACAAATTAAATCGTCCCCCCAACGTCATAAACCAGCGAGCCTCCTTAGAACAGCACCACAAATCAGTCCTGGCAGATCCCTAACACCTGATCCAAAGTAACCCCTTCACAGCCTTCCTACGGTCAAAAGGTGTGGAGCCATCGGGATCTCAGAGGGGACGGGATTGGAGAAGGATTGGACAGCTGCAGAAGCCCCTGGCCCTCCAATAGCCAAGGAGAGGGGTCCTGGGCTGGTTGCACAGGGCAGGCAGACCCTTTAGGGAGAAGGTGGTCCTCTGGATGGACTCAACAAAGCCAGTGTTGGAATCGGTAACGTATTGGCCACCCACTTCAGGTGCACCATACAGGTCATCCTTGTTTAGCGACCACAACTGAGACTGGCAACTCAGTTGTTAAATGAAGTGGTCGCTTGAAAACTGTGAAAAACTGTGAAAAACTGTGCTTACAATTTTATTTCAGTTTTCCTTTGCTTCTTGCTACTTCCTTCAGTTGAACTGGGGTTCTTTCTCTTTCTCTTTGAGGACATCTTAGTACGGGATAAATAAGCAAGTGAAAATAAGAGCAGAGAGAAATTGCAAAGTCTGTAAATGCAAGGACTGATCGCTAAGTTGTTTTTTAGCAGCATAACTTCAAATGGTCACTAAATGAGGCAGTTGCTAAGTGAGGACGACCTGTATCCGCAGAACGCAGCTCTTTCCTGGCAGTTGAGGGCTGCTGCATTCACCACCAGCTAAAGTTTCTGAGTAATCTTCAAAGACCACCCCAAACTGT